AAGAACTGAAATGAGAAGGCAAAGCATCATCTTATTAGAACTCAGCAGGGAACATGCACAGAAGACAGATTTTTCACTATTTTGTGCATCTGCAGGTCTGTGAGTGGCTATGAGAGATCCTGAGTATCGATTTTGGGGTTACAAACACATTTTATCAAGAAGGCAGGTTTGCAAATACAGAATCTGCTAATAAGGATTGACAGTATATTCAGAATCTGACTACTTCTCACCACCATCACCACTACCGCCCTGTCCAAACCATGATCATCTCTTCACTTGCACTGGTCTCCTCACCAGACTCCCAGCATCTTATCTTTCCTCCAAGGGTCCAGAATTCACCTGTGTTTTTAAACTCAAACCAAGATTATGTCACTGCTCTACTCACAGCCCTCCAGTGCCTTCCAGTGTCTTCTGAAATGAAAGCCAAAGCCCTGACCATTGCTATACCAGACCCCCGGTGATCTTAGTGGCTCCATTTCCTGTCACACTCTGCCCCTACTCACTCCATTCTAGACAAACACTCTTACCTGGCAGCCTTTGTACTTGTGTTTTCTACTCGTAAGATTGTTTGTATGGCTCACACTATAGTGAATTCCTGTAATTTGTCAACAAAAAGTCAAATTCTATTAAAAATTTTAAGAGATTAATTGTGGGCCAAGTATGAGTGATCATGACCTGAGGCAGAGTCTCAAGAGGTTCTAAGAACATGTGCCCAAAGTTGTCAGGCTTCAGCTTGGTTTTATACATTTTAGAGAGACATAGGCATCAATTAATATAAACATATGTAAGGTGTATATCAGTTTGGTCCAGAAAGGTGGAGCAACTCTAAAGTGGGTGGGGGAGGAGCCTTGCCAGGTCATAAGTAGATTCAAAGATTTTCTGATTGGCAATTGGTTGAAAAAGATAAGTTATTATTTAGAGACCTAGAATCAGCAGAAGGGAGTGTCTAGTTTAGAAGACGGGATTGTGGAGAAAAAGCTTCTTATGCAGATAAGGCCTCCAGGTAGCAGGCTTCAGAGAAACTAGACTGTAAATATTTTTTATCAGATTTTAAAACGTGCCAGATTCTTAATTGTCTCCCGAATCAGGGAAAAGACCTGGAAAGGGAAGGAGATGCCCTATAGAATATACATTTTCCCCATAAGAGACAGCTTCACAAGGACATTTCAAATGTGTCAAAGAAATATATTTTCAGTAAAATACTCTGTCTTCTTTCAGGGTCTGCAGTCTGTCGTGCTGGTATCTTATTGCTACAGATAATCTGTTTTTTCAGTCCTAAAGTATCTGTTTTAATGCTAATGCTGGTCAGTTGTGCCTAAATACTAAGGGGAGCAGAGTGTAATGAGACACATCCAATCTCTTTTTCCCATCACGACCTGAACTAGTTTTTCAGGTTAACTGAAATGTGCTTAGCTTAGAGTAGGGATCCATTCTGTTGGGTAGGAACCAGAATTTTATTCTGGGTTTACAAATTTTATGTTGCTTCGATATGCATTTTGAATATAAGTTTTACTTTCTCATACCAGAAGCAGGACTCATTTGTCCTTGACGCAGTTTCCAATAACACACCCCCTTCCTGTTCCTCTGTATGGTCAGTCCAGATATCACCTTTTACCACTGCCTTTTGGTGACCAACTCTCCAACCTCCCTATGGGTCATCCTACTTGACTCGACCTTCTTGTCCCCCACACCCTACAGGAACTGCATAGAAGTGCTGCAATAACCACCTCTCAATCACTGCGTGAGCCCGTGGAATTCACACCTGTTGCCTTTAAACCCACCAATCAGAAGGCCCCTATGGGAAGCCTGCTTGGGTAACTCCCTGGACCCCAAAAAAGACTTTGGTCCCACAGATGCTCTCTTGCTCCCAAATCACTGGTTGAGCGGCCCTGTCTGGGACAACTTCCTTACTCCCTCACCTTACGGTTGGCTCTGTGAGGCCGGCTGCCTTCTTCTCTTTGGGGGCTGTGATAAAAATGCTTCTGCCATTTCATGGGTTTCGTTGTACTGCTTCCTCTGCGTCTCACTTGACTAACACACCCAAATCTAGCTGCTTTTCTGTTCAGGGCTAGAATTTATAGCCACTCTCAAACGAGGCCTTGAGAGCAAATTGGAAGGAAATGATATCTACAAACCGTCTCTTCAGTTTCTTCAGATCTCCGTTCAAATTTCTCCTTCTCAGATTTAGGCCTTCTATGACAACCTTCCTATGTAACAGCACCCATTACGCTCTACCCTCGACCCTGCTTTTGTTTTATTGACGGCACACATTACCACCCAACATTATGTGTATATTCATTGTAGTTCTCCCGTTTTTTTCACTGTTCTAGTCCCAGCATCTAGAACATCTAACACAATGTAAGTGCCTCATAAATATTTACGAAATGAGTGAAGACGCCCTGGCTTTCTCACATGGAGTACTCTCATGGGTAAGCTGTCCCTGGCCTAGAACTGAAACTCCATGATGCTGCTGATGCTTCACTCCCAAGCCCACTTTTCTGCTGGGTCTCTTCACCAGTAGAGCCATCCCTCTAGCCCTTGAGGCATTTCTGTTAGATAGAGTCCAAGACTGACTCTCTTACAAACGGGCTTTTCCTCCGGCTCCCTAGCTTACTTCTACTCGGTGATTGAAGCGTTTGAGAAAAGAAAAGAAGTATATGTGGACTTTTTTTCTTTCTTTCTTTAGGACTGGTCTATCCTCACCCTGTTTATCTCTGCAGTGAGCTTCTGTACTCCAGAAAACACATTTTAATTCTGCTAATAGAGAAACTTTTCGTACCTGAATATGCCAAGCTCTTCTCTAGGCCTCCACGTTAGCTGTTTCCTTCGTCTGAGAAACTCGAAGCTTCTACCCATTACCCTAATATACCTCTCACCTGAGATTAAATACCACCCCCTTCAGTGGCCTCTGACCAATGGGCCTAGATCAGGGCCTCCTAATGCATTGTTTCTCAAACTTTAATGTAATCACCTGTAAGTCTTGTTAGTGTTCCCCGAGACCCATTGCCAAAGACTCTGATTGAATACATCTGATGGAGTTGGTAAATTTGTGGTTCAAAAAGCTAACAGGTGAGTCTGATAATGCTTGTCTAAGGCCCATGCTTTGAGAATCACTGCTCTAGATTCTCTGCTTGACACATTCAGCTCACCTTTCACAGCCCATTTTTATTTCATTTCTGTTGAAATCTTCCCTGATCATACCCGACAATGAATCACCCTCCTCTGTGTATAGTCTGCCTTGAATTATGGTTAACTATGACTGCAAAGTACTCAGCACACTTTATAATTAAATATTTAAACATATGTCTTTCCAGCAAAAGAGTAAATTCTATAAAGTACCTGTAAATTACTCAACAACAAATAACTTTAAAAAAAAAAGTACCCGCTTTGGAGTTGAGGAATATGGAGTTGAGACATGTAAAGTAATTTCCCCAAGGTCAAAAAACCACTAAAGATGAAGGAAGGAAAGATATGTAAGGAAAGAAACTATTCTAGTTATAAAACCCTGAAAGGCAGTGAAAATGCAGTCATTCTAGGACCAAAAATATTGTTAATGGAGGGCCTTGATGTTCACCTGCAGTTGAAAAATCTCCAAACTAGTGGCATAGAACTGAATGTGACAAAGGTTGAATTCTGTTACCTCTTCCCTTTTCCCATCTTCCCTTCCTTCCTAGGTCCTTCATCCTCATCACACACATGTACCTGCTTCTATGTCAACACGTACTGAGGTCTTGAATATAACCAAATTGGAATTGCTGATTGAGAAAATGGCTTAAAGGGTATCTGGGCGGTTTTAATTTCCCTGCAAGATATTAGGAACCTCCTTAGTAGAGAAGCTCGTTAGAACCCCTGAGACATACTTTTGTTAGGCCCCAAGGAAAAAAAATTAAAGGAAGTGAGTTGTTTAATGAACTAATACTCCCATTTCCATTTTTCAGAAGTCCAAATTAGAAGACCGATGCAAAGGCTTAACAGTCACATCCTCTTTACCAAGGTCATACACTGTTCTTTGCATTTCAGTGGATCAAAGCCAAGCAACAGATTTCTGTAAATGAAGGAAGAGATAAATGTATTTAAAATTAAGCTATGTAAATATGCCATATGACTATGCTTAGGAAATTCTTAACCCTCAACTCTCATGTGTTCATAATAGAGTACAGGAGTTTTTACCTCCATGAGGGAAAAATCTGGAAAGAGGACTTCTAGATTTTTCTAAGCCTCTTTTTCTCTGCCTCCCTAGCTTACTTCTCCTCAGCGATTGACGAGTTTGAGAAAAGAAAGGGAGTGTATGTGGACTTCTTTCTTTCTTTCTTTAGGACTGGTCTGTCCTCACCCTGTTTATCCCTGCAGTGAGCTTACCTGAACATGTTCTGAACCTGCGAGGGGAAGGCCTACAGTTTAGAGAAGTAAGGTCAATTCCAGGAAACTGATTCAGCCTTATCTATAACAAAGCTGAGCATGTTGGTGTCTGAGGGATCCCTGCTCTACTTCCCAACTGACTCTAAAATTCAGGAGAGGAGATGGGGGAATTATTTATTGCACCCCTAAACCCCAACAAGCCCTTGTATTTCAGACTTCTGCTCCTCTCAATTTTTTCTCCACTTGCCAGTCTCAGACTGACATATTCAGCTCACCTTTCACAGTTCACTTATTTAGTTTTTGTTGAAATCTCCCCTGATCACCCTGATCACAAATAGAATGAGCCATCCTCCTCAGTGTGTAGTCTGCCTGATGGTTAACTGTGACTGCAGCTGTCATCCTTATGAGATTATAAAACCTTTGTAGATAAGGACTATATTTTACTCCTGTTTGTGCACAGTGAACTCCACATTTCTTCCCAATACAGTATTCAGTGCAATGTCTTTTTCCATTCACTTATCAAATTTTTGCTGACAATTGGCTATGTATCAGGCCGCTTGTTAGATGATGGAACATAGACTGACGCAAGATAGATACAGGCCCTGCCACCACTTTGTTGAATAAATACCTTGACCATAGTGAGCCTTCAAGAAATTTCAGTTGATTTGCTGTAATAGATGAAGGGCTGCTTCCTGTGTCCCACTGTTCACCAAAATTCTGAGGGTTGAATCAGGAAAAACAGAGATGAACTGTAAGATCAATATTTTTTTCTACATATTTCAGGATATAACACACTACACTTTACATGAATAACTGTTCTAAACCTCCATAGTATCTAGTATTTACTGTGTTCTTGACTATGTACCTAGTACTTTATATTAATTATTTACACTTATTCTTCATAACCATACTACCAAGAAACTGATGCATAGGTTGTGAATAGTAAACAATCACCTAAAAGCAGATTTGAGGTTAATTCTAAAATGGATACTAGATATCACTTAAAATTATGTTATCTGCCATGTATATGCCTCATAGGTAGAAGAAAAAGAAATCTTTAAGCATTTGTTTACCCCTAAGAATACTGCACAGATTGATTATTCATTTTAATCCTTCTAACACCTCTCTTCAAAGAAAGTCAGTGTCTATTTTCTAGAGAATCATTCTCTGTATAAGTCAGAGTATAGCCAGGAAAATAAAAGTCACTCCATGCTTCTTGGGAAGCTGAGGTAGGAGGCTCACTCAAATCCAGTTCAAGTCCATCCTGGGCAACATATCAAAACCCACCTCTAAAAAAATAATTATTATTAAAGTAAACTAATTTTTTAAGTCAATCCAGGTATTTTGTACAGCAAGAAGTTTCACACACACACACACCCACACACCCACACACACACACATTGCAGAACCATCAGGAAGTTGGAGGAGCAAATGTCAAGAAGAACTCTTTTGGGAAATTCAAAAAAGCAGAGGTCAAATGCAGCAAAAAGCTTCCACCAGTGGTCTCAGATGTCTGCAATATCAAAGTGAGAGATTCTCGGGAAGTGCCCACAGCTGCAAGCAAGAACAGGAGCAGCTCTTCTGAAACAGCTCTTCTGCCTTCTAAACTTTGTGCTTGAGCCTTCCATTGACAGAATCTAGCTGGCACTCTGCTGGCAAGGGAAAAAGAAATTTCCAGTGTTCTGTGCTGCTGTAGTATAGAGAAAGTTTAAAATATCAGGGATGGAACTGTAACAATATCTGGTAATTTCTACTCTGGATATTCAGTGTCTATTCACAATCTTTGGCCAATCATCAACCTTCCAAGCAATAATAATATCAAAAACGCACTTCCAAGTAATATAATAAAACTATAGCTTATACTAACAAAGATACATGCGACTTCTCTCCCAAAAAAGAAAGACAAAAATCCCCATAAGTTACTATTTCAATGTTTGAGTAATATTTATTTATTTCGTAGTTCAGGCACAACCCATCCTTGATAGATAATTTATAATATAAATAATAAATGATAATGTTAATTCCAACCAATATGTATCACATGAAACAGTAGAGAAAGAGGGAGAAAAAGAAGCAGTTAATATATAGACAGGTATACACACACATACACACACACACACACACACAATATAGATATATATATATATATATAAAACAAAGTGAGGGTTTAAAAAATATACATAGTTACCCTTGATTCTGAAACTGTTCCCAAAGTCAGAATTGTTAAATTTGCTTCTACTACATTCCATTTTGCTTTTCCCATAACTAGTACCTAAACTTTTCATTGTTGGAAGATAGTTCATGGATCTCTCATTTTGCCAGATGTCTTTTGAGCACAGACACTGGCAGTAGTTGTTCTGGGATTCTTTTAAAGGATAATTGCATATCAAATCACCTTTGAAAACAGTCTGTTTTTCTTTCTCCCCCTTTCTCTCCTGTTTCATATGATATGTATTGGTTGGAATTAACATGATCATTTATTGTAGATGTTATAAATTCTCTATCACAAAGGAGTCATGCCTGAGCTACAAAATAAATGAATATTACTCAGACATTAATACAGTAATTTATGGGGATTTTTGTCTTTCTTTTTAAGAGAGTTGTTGCATGTGTCTTTGTTTGTATAAGATATAGTTTTATTATTTCACTTGGACGTGAAGTTCTGTAGGTTCACAATGTCTATCACTGGCACATGGCCAGTCAGGCTTAGAGCCCTTTTTAAAAGACTGAGATTTCCTTAGATCAGGGTCCTTCTCTTCTAATGCAACTCACTGTGTGTGTACCCACACCTGGCCATTTTCTATCACCATGTGGGAATTAGTACTTAAGGACCAGCACAGATGCTGACACTCTGCCTACTATTATTGGTAAACAGTAAAGTCTTTTTTTGCCTATCCCAAGAATCTCATGCCTTTTGGCAACATTCATGAAACTGTGACAGGCTAACTTGTTAGCTTGTGGCAAACTCTCATCTTCCCCACAACTCTTGACATTCAAGATTCTATACCTAGTAACCTAAACTTTTATTCCTGAAGAGCCATTTATTCCTGAAGGGCCATTTATTCCTCAAGCAATGTGTGGTCTTGCGTTTTCAGGTTGCTGTAGCTAGTCTGGAATTAACTTTTATCACAAAATGTGGAACTATTAAAAGACAACCCAGCAAAACTTTTGGATTCTCAACATACTCCTCTCTGTCTCCATTAAGAAGTAGCACCCTCAGTCCCCTTGACAGACAAGATCTGTCACATTAACAACTTTATTAACCCCTTTATTTGTTTCTCAGTCAAATGGTATAAGGAGCCCAAAGTGGTCAAGCGATAGTCTCAACCTCCACTTTGATGAAGTTGCTATTGAGTCCCCTGGTAGAAACATTTTTCCCTTGATAATTAAAACCGTAAACTGGCAGAGCTCAGGGCAAAAAGCAAAATTTTACAAGTAATCACTAAGAATTGTAGAGGCCACTTCTATTTATATTCTTTGGTTCCAGAATCTGGTTCCATAAGGTGCTATGACCTATGCAGCATTGTAACTAAGCTTTCAATAGATCATTTCATCATCCCAGTCATCAGTAGGTAATTTCATCATTCTATCAGGCCAGCTGTTTCCAGGAATTGAGCATGTGGAACTACAAGTGAATTCCATGGACGTAAACCTATATACATAATTTCTTTGTTGTTCTTTAGTCAGGAAATCTTGTGTACAAAAGATGATGAATAAAACATTAGATGATGGTGACGATGAAACATCATGCCCAAGGAAGACACATCTGTATCCAAAATATATGTCTATTTCAGATAAGACTACATAACTAGTAGGTGCCACTGGGGAACCGGGTCATATTGGAAGCCCAGTATTGTTCTTTGCTATTAGTAAGCTGATTAGTCATCAGTGATGGAAGCAAGATCAGGCTTGATAAGGGAAAGACTACACATTCAGTCTTTGCATAGCTTACAGTCCTGACATAATGGTCAGTCTTAACACACAATTCTTGAGTAAGCACTGGGATGACTAGAGAGAGAAGCTAACTTAGGCCCATAAACCAGATCTTCTGGTCTATATGATTACTGACAGTCTTTTATGCAGTAGAACCCTATAATCATGAGATACAAAAATAAAGTATTCTGTGGCTATTCTCAGTGGTTCACCTTCACATATCTCTTCTTTAGACCTACTAATCCACAATCTTTCACTTTTATTCCGTCCAAGTCTCTGATCACCTGACCAAAATTTCAGCTACTACCTATCAATGACATAATATAGATAAATATTATCTCAGACCATCACTTCTTCTAGGCAAAGTGAAAATCCAGATTTATGTTTGCACTTCCCTCCTAAGACGATTTTTCTTTACCCACTATCCTTCAGGGTTAACTCTGTGGGGATAGAATAATGTACCACTGTTGGTACCTTATTTGCTCCTTATGATGTCATAGGGTTGAAGAAAAAGCAATGCCACAAAAGGAGGTGTCACATGGGTTTGAGCCACCTGCTCAAGCAACTTAGCTTGTATCTTGGGATCTGCCAAAGCTCAACATTATGGAGGACACAATGCAATTGCTTAGGGCTGAATTTATAGCTTGATAAATTATGTCATATTCAGTTCATGATTAAACAGTTCCAGTTGCTTCAAAACTCTGGGCTTTCTCCTACGTTTTCCAGCTGTCCCACTCTGCATTTCTATCTACCATTATTTCAAGTACCAGTAGATCTGTTGGGTCATAAGGCTAAGTGTATTACCATTATATTGCCTGAACTCGTTGCAGAACTTTATTTTGTTCTGAGCACTAATAGAAGCTGAAAATCTTACCAGTTATTCAGTAAATGGATTAGAGTAGCACACTCCAGTGTACCTCAATATAGTATGTTGATATGGAATCCAAAGATGCTGTCAGTCAAGTCACAATCGAGATGGAAATGTGAGGGCTTAGTTCTGAGAACTTTTTACCTCTAATTTGCCAACAATACTGCATGCTCTCTACAGAGCAATCCAGATAAATCTTTGGCTGCAGGAAGCACTACTTCTTTACCACCTTTGAGAGTACCAAAAGAGCTTGAAATTCCATATGTTCAGTCTTTTGAGAAATTATAGAAGTCACTAAAGTTTCAAGCAGAAAACACACAGAATAAAGTGGTATTGTTTACTTCCTAGTTCTCATTTTGAGGCACTCTATGATAAAAGGAAGTTTTACTGAAGCACCCAACAGTGAAAACAATTGTTGCCTGACCTTAAATTAGAAATGACAGTAATATTAATAGAAGCCTTAATACAGAAACCATTTTGAGATAATCGTTTCTTGATTATAAATACTGAAGTTCTTACAGGCATGCAATCTTTATCAGAAATTCCAGCAAATATTTCAATGCTTGAAATCTATTGTTCTGGATCTAATATGATTTGGGGATAACCAGTTTAAGATGACAACATTAACGGCCCAATTAAATCACACCATGGCACTACAGTTTTCTCCCATTGTGGAAATTCACTGGAATTTTCCAAGGTAAAGTCCTTATCTTAAAAATCTGGAGATAAGAGTTTTGCTCAAGGAAGCTAAAGACTATCAGTCCTCTGTGGTTCTAGGTTGTTAAATAAATCTCAGAATTCATTTCTTAGCACTTGCTTTTGACTCAAAGAGTATAGGTCATCTTGGTTTATCACTAGGTAAAATCTTCAAAAACAAATCATTCTGTAATTGCGTGTATGATGTGAAATGAGGCAT